AGGCTGGGAACTTTCTGTTTTTGTATACATATATGAAAGGGTCATTTTCCTGTGATGTATAAGTTGTATTATTATACATTTGCAGTTTGTAACCTTCAGGTTGAACGAAGGCTTCACGGTGTTTCTGGAGAGGAAGATTGTGGGACGTTTAGAGGGTGAGCCGATGCGTCAATTTGAAGCGCAATCGGGTTGGGAGGTGAGTTTTTGAGTTTCTAGAAAGTAATTCGTTTTGGATCGTCATTTATCATTCTGCGTGAGTAGTGTTCGAGAATGTCGAGTGTCTTTACTTTCCAGTTGGCAGAATCGGAACTTTTAATGAAAACACTAAGTTGCATTGAATATAAGTGGAAGTGAAAGAAAAACTATTAGAATGAAGTGATGATTTTGAATTTTTGAAGGACTCTTTATTGGTAGCGATAAAAGAGCAGTTCAATGAACAACATCCATATACACGACTCGTTCAAGATTTGAAAGGTGTTGATCCTGATGATGCTTACTCTCCAATACCATATGAGAAGGTATTGTTGTGTTTGTTATAAATTTTTTTGGAAATTGTATTTGGTATTGCAGTTTGTGTGATTTTTTTCAATTTCTTATTATCTTCAGATGTCTCTGTGAGTTTTTTCAAAGTTAATTTCTGCAGGGTTCAGCATTGTTGATGTATTTGGAACAGCAACTTGGCGATTCGGCCGCTTTTGAGAAGTTCCTCGCCGATTACGTAAAGAAATTCTCCGGAAAGTCCATAATCACATCGCAATGGAAGGAGTTCCTCTACGAAAGTTTCCCAGAGAAGAAAGCGGTCTTGGACGCAGTCAATTGGCAAAACTGGTTATACGATGTCGGTGTGCCACTCAGTAAACCGAAGTTTGTTGAATCGTTTATTTTTATGAAAGGGCGTTCTCGTTCTCGAAGTTTTTTGTCGACTTTCTTGTGGTGGTAATTCCTTAGAATGTCGAAGTGAAATCTGATGCTTTTGTCTAGTATTATTTGGATGAATTCAAATATTCCACGAAAATTTCCGGGAATTATTTTAGTTACGATGGACAGCTGTTACGAGATGCAGTTGCACTGGCTAAGCGATGGATCTCGGCGAACGATTCGGATTTGCCGAAATTCACCGATGCAGATTTTAAGAATCTCTCATCTCCGCTCAAACTGAAGGTGTTGGATACGATTCGTACGGTACGTTTCATGTCGTTTTGAAAATTAAATTAACCAGAACAGTGTATCGTTCTAGACATTCGCACGTTCTAATTAACAAATAATTGTATTAGGATGAAAGAAGGATGTATCCAAATAGGGAAGAATTTATTAGTTGTGTTACATTAGAATGATATGAAGTAGCTTATTGATAGACAGTTTTTCTTTGCATTACTTTTAACTTATTCAATCGATTCCATTCAATTTAAGTTATAATAATCAGGACAGACTGAAACTAACAGCTGCAATGACATCGGAAACGTGTCGTCAAATTGTTTCTATCTGTTCATTAATTTGCAGTTTCATTTCCGAATACTTGTTGCAGGCTGACCGTCTACCAGAGAATAAAATCACTCGAATCGATCAGCTCTATAAACTATCGTCCACTGGTAATTGCGATCTGTTAAGCTCGTGGATACAACTCGCGCTCAAAGCTCAATGGAAACCAATCATTCCAGTTGCACTTAAGTTTGTGACGGATTATGGACGAATCAAATATTTACGTCCAGTCTACAAGTTAGTTGTGATTTTATGAAATTGGTTTTTGTTTTGGTTTTTATGAAGTATTATAGTGTTCGATGTTCAAATGTTTATTTATCCGAAACTTCACTGAACATTCGGTTGTGTGCTGTACTGTTTTTTGAATATTAGAGCCAGGAAATTGATAGCTGTGTGCGATTTTTATTGGTTTTCCATCGGTCAACTAAACTGTGTCTTGCAGAGGGTTATTCCTATGGACGGAAAGTGCTGGTCAGGCCATAGCACAGTTCCAGAAGAACGCACCATCAATGCATCCAATCAGTGTATCAGTCGTATCGAAACTTATCCCGAAATAGAGAAATGGCGATGGAATTGTGGAATTTTATTCATCAGTATAGATTTTGAGTATTTGCGAATTTTCGGTTTGTTCAGGTCGCTTAGGTTTTAATGTATCGGTCTACTAGTAGAGTAGATGATCATAAATAAATATTTTGCTGTTTTTAGATGATCATTGAATAAGGTAAATGTTTTGCTTTTCATTGAAAATATGATTTTTTAGAAGAGTTCGTTTTAATTTTTAA